TCTCTGTTATATCTAAATGTGGACCATTTCTCTAATGCTGGCATCGACTAAGCGAACACTGCAAATTAAGGAGCAATGCAGCAAAGCTAGGAAACTGCAATAAACTAAATGCCCCTGAAAAGCTGCTGACACGTTGTGAAAACACAACTATCTCTGAACCTCATAAAAGAACGATGAGAAAAGTTACAGATGAAAATTGAATTTTACATCACAAAGCTGCAGCTACGTCCCCGCTGGAATATCAGGAATGCAACTACCGTGAAATACTCCTGTGAAATAACAGCTGCAGAAGGGAATGGAGCATTATTGGTGAAACACCCATATCTGTTTACATAATGAGTGAGCAGCACTTTTTCTATAGAGACAAAATGTGATCTTTCATCCAGTCGCACATTTGTTCTGTTCTTTAAATTTTATAGTCAACCCTAATCTACAAGTTCACGATAAAACATTCCACACCACGCTGACCGGCGTCATTATCCATTACTCTTTTGTGTAAAGACACAGACCTGAGTTGGCGTTAAGCTCCATGGGCTGCAGAGGAAGACGTGCCCTCTCCTTGGCTGAAGACTGACTGAGAAAGAGCCACGCTGTCGTTGATGAACACCGACCCTCAGATCACACCTCTTCATCTGTTCCTGTTCTGTTTCACCGACAGGTTTGAGTCCAAACACCACTGCACTTTTCTACTGTCCTTTTAAAAAACCACCTATACTCTAGTTTTCTCCTGTAAGCTCATTTAACTGTTTTGATGAAAACTTCAGAAAATGTCTCTACACCAGAATCAGCTGAGGTCAGGACAGGGCAGGGCTGGTTTGATTGCCTTTCCTGAAAACCATTCTTCTGTCGAATGAGCTGGAAAAGCGGTGGAAGAGTTGAAGCACTTTTGATGACAGAGAGAGAGAGAGAGAGAGAGAGAGAGAGATTGGCCGGATCTGAGTAAGACAGCAGACTGAAGGCAGGAGGGTATGTTTCTGCTCGGGTCTAAAGTAGCGTAAGAGGTGGAGTGGGTGTACTGGTGATGGAGCAGGAGGTGTGTGTGTGTGTGTGTTGCAGGGTGGTGGTTCGGGTCACCATAAATCAAGCAGAGTGGGGTCCGGGTCACCATAAATCAAGCAGAGTGGGCACCCGGCCAAATGACTCATCCGCAGCGCTCTATAAATACAGCCATGCAGGGTCGGAGGGGCCGCTGCTGATCCGCCGGTGTTCTCCCTTCTTTCAGGAAGGTCTTTAATAACCCTCCTTATCGCTTTTCAATCTCACCTCGCACTTGTAGGCCAACCACGCAGCACTGACCGCCGTTACGTTGACTAAGCGAGGCCCCTGTGAACCTGTAACCCTCCCTGGGTGAAGCATTCGATTCAGACAAGACAGGGAGGAGATCCTGGGCAGACGTTTGAACGTTTGTCCAAAGACACATCAGTTTACATACCAGCGGTCCAAACTTTCGAGTGTCCCAAGACACCGACGTGCTGTAGTAGTGAGACAACGTCTTCAGCGGAGGCCCACATGTGCCCTGGCCGAGACACGGCCAACTTGATACATGTGAGGAGTGGGGGAGTTGGAGTTGGGTGAGGGGCGGATGGCAGACGTTGGTATGTGACATGTCACATACCAATTTCTCCAATAAGGCTGTTATGTAAGCCCCGGCGCTCCCTGTCCCGTCCCCTCTCTCTGCGTCCTGAGGTGGCTTGTTTGCGGGCCTCAGTGCGTTTCCTGCGCCGGATCTTTCTGCTGTGGTTTTTCTCACACACGCAGGAATAATGACACACGCACATGCGGAAGGAAGACAGAGGTCTGGAATTGTCTGGAATTCCGACAGTACGGGGCTGACGTCATTGTTAACGGTATGCAGCTTATTGTTTAGACGTTCCCGGTTCCTTAACCTCATGCTTTTTGTCACAAAACGTTTGTGAATATGGAATTTTTAAACAGTTATATTTTACTGTGAGGAATGACTCGTTCAACTCTGTAACTGCTGTTCGTCATCACATCACACAAAAATGCACTTTGAAAGTAGGTGAAAGCCTTTTTCTAGTCTGTAGAAAAGTGTGAGGCGTTAATGGAACATCTCTCTGCTGTTATTGCTCTGCTCTTTTTCTGGTAGTTCAACAGAACCATTAGCCACATGGCTGTAACAAACCACTCATTCTGTCTATATGTTACAACAACTACTAACTTGTCAGCTCCAAATCTGGCATTAAGGATTAGAACCACATTTTCTCAGCAAGATTTATTTTTTTTAATCCAAGATTGTGGCTGAGACATCGACCCAGAAGGACAGACAACTCCTCTGTATCAGTGTCTTTTCATTAGAGGTCACCGAACTCAGTTTCTTTGCCTCTGTGACCTTGACTGCGACTCGAGGACGCGTTATTTTGTGAACTACAGAATAGAAACAAGTTGTTATTTATGTGCGCTGACTGCGACAAGAAATTTTTATTTTAAATTGACTCATTTAGGTTAGACACCTGGTTTGTGTCAGACCAGCCTAATCGAGCTCAGAGCAGTCAATAAATCTACGTCTTTCTTTGATTTCTTAAACATGAATCATCATGATTCATTATGAAAATGCAAGATTTGTCATGAGAAATCATCATGAGAAATCGACAACTTCACTGTGATTAATTGAATTATAAATAGTCATCCACACCCCATTGTTAACCACTGAGGTGACATGCAAAGAAAGGGTCACACACACAAGTTTTTTGAAACGCAGACACACATTTACAAATGGTGCTGTCGTACTGTGGAGGTGCTGATGGTGCTAAGGTACTCATTCCCCCCTGTAGCCCGATCCTCCCCAGGCCTTGTGCCATAATGAGCAGTCTGAGAAAAATCCTCCAAAGAAAGGGAGGCATCCTTGAAAGTTCAGCGGCCAGTGACCAAGGTTAGATGCCTTTCTAATGTTTCTCGTCAGTCAACCAGGTTTCCCTGCAGGACTTCGTCACAGACCGTCAGCCTGCAGCTACACTCGGCTGCAGTCCGCAGTGACCAAGGTTAGCTGCCTTTCTAATGTTTTGTTTTCAAATGCTCTCGTCAGTCAACCAGGTTTCCCTGCAGGACTTCGTCACAGACCGTCAGCCTGCAGCTACACTCGGCTGCAGTCCAGGTCATTGTGAAGATGTTCTTCTCTTTCCTCTTCTGACACTAATGTGTGGCTCTGACAGATTGCTAATATGTCACAAATTTGTCTCCACCACTTTCCCTGAGCAAAATGTTCAAAGATGGGTCCAGTGGGTTTTTGCTGCTTCAGCTACACCCACTCCCTCCTCATTCTTTGGATACCAAATGGTTTTCCAGAAGATGATCAAGGACATTTCTAATAGAACCCTGCTGTTATTATGAGTTCTGTTCTCCACCCAGACTTCGGCTCAGCCAACTACAGGCACCAGACCCTGTAAATGATTTTATGTGAAGAAGAAGAGAGAAAAAACCCAGACTGTTTCCAGAGGACGTCCTATTTTAAAATGACAGACCTGTGGTAATGTAATCCACCGCTCCTACTCCCACTCTTATTGTTTTTATTGTATTTTATTTTCTTTATACCTATTGTATTTCTTTTTTTTAATAAAACCCAGCATCAGTGTGGACAGCAAAGAAAAGAATTTCATTTCACTGAGAAACTTTTTCTTTTTTTCTTGTACATGATGATAAACTCTTTGAACTTGAACTCAACCAGCTCTGGAGTCAAACTTCCTGTTTTTCATGTTGCTATAAAACAGGATTAAAGTGGGTCAGTGACCTGAGTTATTACTCTTCTACTTCATTATCAAAAAATACATGCAAATTAAGCTGTTTTAGATATGTACTACACAACAATTAAAAAATATATGGAACAGTTTTTAGAAGTTAAGAAAGTTTTTAATTAGCAGAGAGTCCTGGGTTCGATTCCCAGAGGAACCACATGCCCAAATATGGGCTAAAGTTCAATTTTTTAAAATTCCTTTGAGTGTACACTGTTCATTCATAAATTATTAATCAAATGTAATTTAATATTATACAACAAATTGATTAAAGAGGTAATATTGTAAAAGCCCATTAAGTAGTAGTAGTCATTCCAGTAATCCTATATTGTCGCTTTTAACATTTAAATTTACTGCTAAAATGAAAATTAGTTATAAAGTAGTTGTTCAGAAAATAAATCTACATTTTCATCCTCTTCTGGAATTGTGTTCCAGTATAAAATACTCATAAAACATAACAGTAACTCGGAGGATGCAGGGTCTTTAGGTCACATACAGACATATATACACCATAATACTGTATAATGTGGTGCAGCATATTTACATGTATCATATCAAAAGAGAACTATTGATTTGAACATTTGTTGGGTCGTGGGTGGAGCTCTGCTGTATTATTCCATAGTCATTTCAAATTCCAACCTCAGCACATTACTGCAGCCGTTATTGATTCTTACATTTGCATGAACGCTGCAAAAAGAATGGATGAGCTTGAACAAGTAAATAAGTTCCAGGTCGTTGTATGTACTGTAAGAAAAGTGGAAAGTTAGAGTCAAGTGTTGGTTGTATCATTAACCAGGGTTTGTATCACTTATTGGTTGACTAGTAGTTAATGTTTTTTTCTTTGCTCGCTCAAAGCACTGTTTCCCAAACTTTTTTTCTGGGCACCTATATTTTAAAATTCACAAACCTTCACTTCAAGTCAATAGACATTATTCGTAAACTCCTGGAAAACATGATGAGAGACGACCCCAAAAAGACCCCCTCTTTCGACCCACCTGAGGGTCATGACCCAGTCTTTGAGAAACAATGGCTGTGGGAAATAAGTCGTCTTGCAGTATGTTTTTGCTGAAGGTCAGTTTTATTCTCTTCTCATTACTATTTCAATCCCAAAGAAATCAAATATTTACATATTAAACAAAAAATAAATCTTCACAAGCAACTGAACAGAAAGTGAGCAGAGCTTTTTCACCAATAGTACATTTCTATAACACCGTCTCCTCACATACTGTCATTACACTGAAGAAGAAGAGCAAATCGTACAGTAAGTCTTGCTCCTGTCTTTGTCCCTGATGTGAAAATACCTCTAAACTGCTGACGTTGTTGATCTACTTAGAATAAACTACGTACAAGGACAACGAGACACTGAACTGCAGTAAGAAAAAAAAACACACACAACCCTGGCTGACCAGGCACAGCGTGCTGTAGTGAAAGCTGCCATGGAACATTAGGTCAATGGATCAGCACATGTTTCCTGTATTATTATTTAGTATTTAAATGAATAATCATTATAGAAATATTAGATCATTTACATCACACTCGGTCATTCAACCCACGTGATAAAAAAGATTTAGAGTAAACTGCATCAGAGGTCATTAAACGTTTGCTTACGCTGCAGGCACACGGAGTATAAATACACACACAGCCAGCGCCCACAACAGGAGTTCTCCATAACTAATGTGACTTTGGGGCCTTATTGAGAACACACACACACACACACTGTCCACGCTGACACTGAAATGTCAGCAGCACAAATTAATCCACTCTCTGAGTGACTCCACCGAGGCTTCTTCAACCTTAAACACTGATGTCTGTAGGAAGTTGTACTAAATACTATGAACTATAGAAGTATTTCTACTGGTGAGTCTGTCATTAAAAAAAAAATCACTTATTCAACATGAGTCATAAATTCCTAAAGTGGATTAGTCAGCTGTTAGTTAATCCCTGATTTACTGATCCTGAAGTTCGTCTCCTGTCTGTCTTCACTCTGTCCTAGTAATGAGTGGTTTTGGACGGACACTCAATCATTAGGCTTTAATAAGACATGACTTTAGAGTGGAGACGGTTTGGATTGGGCGGGTATAGAATCCTAATTACACACTTTCCCAGAGGGATTAAACTGGGAGTATTTTTCAAAATCTACTCTCTCATTGACCATATCATATCATATGTATGTGACTCTGATCTGCTCTCTCTTGTCCCTCTCTCTCTTTCTCTCTCTTTGTGACAGTTTCCAGCCTGCTGACTCCAGTCATCACTTACAATTGAAACCTAAAACATAATGTAAAACACTGTCAAAGAATCAATCATCATTTTACAATGCAAATAATAATAACAATTCTTAATTCTAATAACTAATAATAATTATTATTTTAATTGATTTGTCATAATATTGTTTTGTTTCATTTTTTAAAATTTCTAAACATTTATTTTGAAATACAATTCCCTTTTTTTCAACTTTAAAATATAACTGTAAATTGAACTACAGAGGATTTAAAAAATGCAAAATGAGAAACTGCGTCGTTGCATTACCACACACGGCCACAAGATGGAAGTGTCCTCCCTATTTACAAAGCTATAGTAAAGCTTTGTCAAACATTCACACTTCTTTACGGTTCCATGACTATACATAAAGAAAATACTTCTTTCCAATCATGTTTGAAGCACCGGAGCCAAACAAACATGGCCAACTCTGCGAATAATGTTTTGTCCTCTCACCATGTTTTTTTGTAAACTGCATTTATGCTTAACTCTATCCACCTGCTCACAATTACATAATCCCCGAGTTCCTGCCATGAATAAAGGGACGCTTGCCTCTGGAAATAAACATGGAAATATTCCCTTTATTCTGGAGCGGTGTTTTGCTACAGCCTGTCCAGCTACATCATCAGTTCGTGAGAAACTGGGAGAAACAAGACAGAGGATAGAAGGCTGAGCCCGAGGCAAAGACAGAGAAAGATATTCTGAATTCATAAAAGAGCGAGAGTCTCTTTTTTTTTTATAAGAGTTTGAGAATGCGAGGAGGAGGAGGAGGAGGCTGTTTCTGTCAGACAACGCAGCGGGAAATGTTTCCGGTGTTGATTCTTCAGGCACAGAAATAGATGAAAAACTGCATCAAATATGACGCTGAACCCCAGGTATTTAGGCGGATTTCACTGTTCGACAAAACCCAAAGTCAGGGACACTCAGTGTAAACTTATGTCTTCTGAAGACATTCTGCTCAGTCATTGGACGGCAGACCTCAGATCTGGCATCCCGCTGCTTCGAGCTCTGTTACGTCACACTTCTGTTTTGAAATCATACCTGACATTCCTGGGAAGGATTCAACAGAACCGTTCAACACTAAATAAAAACTTCAGTCTGATCCCAGGAAGCAGGATGTTTCTGACAGGTGCTCCGTTTAAATTCGCTGATCTTGTTTCTATGCTGTCTGTTCCACCTGTTCTTCCACGATAGCACACGGTGAAACGAACACTTTATTCTCGTTAAACATCCGCACTTAAGCATTAGCGAAAGGTATTAGCAACAAAATACAAAAAATAAATAAGCACAGATATCGTTGAAGAAAGAGAGTCAGCAAAACAACAATAACAACAACAAAGTCCAAAGCTAATCAAAAATTAATACGGAGAAGTTAGCCAAAATGACTTAGCTTTCTCAGCTATGTTTCAGCTAACAACGTTTTAGTTGAATTTTTTTTGTGTACCTATTTTCAATTTAATATATATATTAATCATATGGCTACTAAATTTAGGACACAAATATTAAATATTTTAGCTATCTTCTGTTACTTTTTATATTATCTTTGTCGTTTTGTTTGGTGTGTACCTATTTTCAAATTAATATATATATGAATCATATGGCTACTAAATTTAGGACACAAATATTAAATATTTTCTGCTATCTTCTGTTACTTTTTATATTATCTTTGTCGTTTTGTTTGTTCTCGTGCAGCAGTTTGTTTGGCCTCTGTGTTTCAGCCAATATCGTGCTATTTCCTGGACAACATTTAATCACCTGAAGGCTGTTTTTTTCACGAACCTACATGACAGTAATTCCTATGAATGATTGAATGTGTGCCAGATGGAGATGGAGAATGTTTTGGCCTGTGGGCCAGCAGTTATTATAACATTCTTACAGTCTAATGTTTGGCCTCTGAACCGTCGGCTTTTAGAAATGTGAACTCTGAATTAGAAATTTGAACAGCATTTCATTCAGTTATGTCAAAATGTCTTACAATTTACTTACTAATTTACAGAATTATTTTAGCTACAATCTTTGGTGTTTATGTGTGTGTATTCATAACTGATTATTTTGTGTCTAATTATAATTCATTCTTTTTTGCTTTCACTTTTGATTATTTTTTGATACTCATTCTGCTACTTCTTTTTTTTCTTATTTATTAAATTTTGCTCTTTTTGCTAATATGTGGTATATTTGCTATTATTTGATTTATTTTTTTAAAAAAAAAATTAGTTGTCTTTTTTTGCCCCAGGTTTTGTCACATTGATAACTGTATTTCCTGGATGACATTGAATTACCTTCTTCCTTTTTAGGGCAGAACCATAACCAAATATAACATCAATGATTGAATATTGACCACATGTCCACATCTGTAACTGAATGGTTTTGGCCTGTGGGACAGAAAGTATTGATGGTACTGTTTCCTTCCCTTCAGCTCAGTTCCTTGTGTGCTCTCACAGGTTGGAACACGTCAGTGTGATGGAGGATAAGAGCAGTGGTGCTAAAACTCTTAGTTTGGTTGAGTGAAACAAAAGCCTCAGTGTTCCTGTACCTGTCTCTGACAGACCGTGCTATCAAGTGAGTCTAGTCTAAATATTGTTGTCAGTGTGGTGAATCTGCAGCAGAGCGCACACTGTGGAGCTCTCTGCAGCCCGAACGCACGTTCTGTTCTCAGAGGAGGAGACACAGAAACAAAGTAGAAGCACCAGAGGGTGCACGGAATAAAAAATATAAGACACGCGGAGGTGGCGGTGTCTCTGAATTGTCTGCTAACTTTTTCACTTTTTCTTTACAAAGACATAGCACGCAGACTGAAACTTTCCACATAAAGAAATAATTTAAAAAAATACAGCAAAGACTCACTTCCTGTCCGTCTGCGTGTCTGATCCAGACTGTCCTTGTTCTGTGTTCAAACTGAACCACATTTAGACCAGTGGAATATATGTGTTGTGTTTTTCTTTCATTTGCCTCTCTCTCTGTCTCTCTCTCTCTGTCTCTCTGTGTCTCTCTCTCTCTCTCTGTCTGTCTCTCTCTGCTTCTTAGACCTCTTTATTTGCCGCCTCATAACAAGTGAAATGAAAGAGTTTCATAGGGTCACAGATGGAGTGAGCAGTACAGAGGTTCCAGTAAGAGGCGACATGATGACGAAACCCATTATTAGAAATCGGGTGAGTCCAAGTGTTTATAAAAACAGAGAAATGAAAGAGTTTCATAGGCATATCATGTGATGAGTGGATCTAAAAAAAATAAAAAAATCTGAGCAATAACAAAGCCTCTAAGTGACATCTACAAATAGGCCCATGGTGACACTTTAGGAAAAAACCCATTTATGTCTTGATAGAAAAGAAACAGAAATAAATCATAAAGTTATTTTGAGGCGCACACCCGGCTCAGATGTTTCCTCATTTTTTATTTACGTCACGGCAGGTCTTTTTTTTTTTTAACAGGAATGTTTACATCTACCCACGAGACGTACCAAATCCCCTGAGGGCGGCCATACTGTGTGTTTTCTTACACGTCTGGATAGGAAGGTCAGGTGAGGGATATTTAACCACAACAGGTGACTTTATACTGTACACAGAGACCTGTGATACGACAGACTCCGTCTGTTGCTTTCCAAAATATTATTGACTATCTGCCAAAATACAACAGCATTTAGTGGTTTTTAGGAAGCGCCTTATTAACGCTGGGCCATCATTTAGTGTCATTTGTGGCTTCAGTATCTGCACAGTGGTATTTTTAAATACAGTTGTAATTGCAGTTGATTGTCATAAAACCACATTTAAAAACTAGATCCTGGGCAGGTGTAGACCACAGTTAAAAACTAGATCCTGGGCAGGTGTAGTACGATACGAGCAATTTAATAAAACACAGACTCCAGGTGCGCTTTAGTGCTGAACAGACTCTTCTAGATTTAACATCTTAGTGGACGGAACTTCTTTGTTGTGACTTGTTACCCCAACAGTTTGTGTTAATTAATTTATTCAAACAAGGAAATAGTTCTACACTCTTTAAGTGAGACTGTCACTGAGAGACTGAGAGTGTTTCTAAGTGAACTGAACTTTTATTGGTGTAAAAGCTCTGCACGCTTTCTGTTCACCTGGCACCGGTGTTAACTTTCTTTATCTTTATTATTTTTTCTGAGAAGAAGATGAAACTGGCTTCGAGCTGTGCCACCGCGAGAAACATTTATTGTGATCTGTGGGCATCGTTTCACCATTGTGGTCATTTGTAAAAGAGTACTTTATGATGCAGCATTAATATGTCAGGCCACACGGAAACAGCTGTCTGTGGTGTGTTTGATGCCGCATGATAAAAAACATAAATAAAGTCATTTACATATCACCTAGACAAATACCTGCCAGCTGGAACCAGTATTTTTGAAATATTATGTCAGTGCTGCAGAAGCATGTAGAGTCAATCGAGTTAGTGGTTTTTCATATTTCCTCTCATCTCTTTCACAGTGTTTACAGAGTCTGTCCCTGCTGGGACAAATGTAAATGAAATTCAAATCCCAGAAAAGCTCCATAAAGGAGTCTACAGAAAGAAATAATAATAAAAAAAATCTGTTATTACACCTCGTGTCTCCTACTGAGCAAAGCAAACACTGTTGCTCAGCGTGCGACCACAGAGCTGTTCTTACTTAAGTGCTGCTGTAAAAATAACTCAATGTAATGAACTGAAAATAACCGTATGTGTGTGTGTGAGCAGAAAAACACACACACATACACCTTATTCTCTGGCGCACGCGAAACAGGAAGTAGACGTTAGGCCCTCGTGGTGGAACAACTATGAGCGAAAACATTACATTTTTATTTTACTCCGTTTAAAGCCTTCACCACCGATCGTTAAATTCTCGAAGAAACAATAATATTCTTTACAGTGTTTTAACACAGAGGCTATTTTGGTGTGTTTCAAAGACATTACTGACATGAAGAAGAACAATCTAGAAGTTTCACTTGTCAGTAACACCTGTGCTGGTCCCACATGTCTGTGAAAGACGCTACGTTTGGACAGAACAACAGTAAAATGATTTGTTTGACAAAAACATCGACTTCCTCTGCATGCTGCGACTGTTGACTAGAATAGAGAAGTGAGAATCTTTTTTTTTTTTTAATTATTATTAGGCCAGTGGTGACTTGCGTCCAGAAGGTTTCAGGTTTGAGTCCACCAGCTGCCCAGTTACCACTGAGGTGCTCTGAGCGTTCACTTTGGTGATGGGTTAAAAGCAGAGGTCACATTTGGTGGTGTCCTGTGTCACAATGACACGCAGTTCCCGTTCCTTATTATTTTACATTCTAATCAAGCACTACTTCAATCACAAAACAAAAACAGACAAACATCTCTTCATCATCTGGTTCAGTTTTCTGCCCTTGTTGCTGTTTCCTGCTCATTAGAGCGACTTCCTGTGAATCAACATGGGTTTAATGTTTGTTGTGTTCTGGCTCCAGAGCAGAAAATAAGAATTTTCTGCATTTAAAAATGATATGCAGACAAAACTAACCTTCGCTCCCCACTATAATGGACAATATGCCATGATTTATAAGGCAGTCCAGCGTGGACAGTGTTCAAATGTACAGTACATTTTACAATATACCATAAAATGGACACTTTTTTTTATTTTGCAATTTTTACTGTTTTTCCTTTTCAGTAATGTCTTTTTTCTGGGGGGTTTTGTGTTACAGCCAACCGTCATTTTTACAACCGCACAGATGTTTATGTATCTTGTGTAAAGCCCATCAGCCAATGGACTACAGATGGAAGTGCAGCCGTGCTCAGAGTCAGATACATTCACTTGTAGAAGTTTATTATCAGGTTCTTTTTGCTTCGAGGCTAATTACAGTGGCTTTTGATTGAGAAAAAAACAACAAATCTTTTTTCTCTGCGTTTGGTATTTTTGAGTCTAAACACTCCTGCAAGTGTTGTTTACGTCAGAGAGTTCTGGAGGATGTCTTCGGTGACCAGGTCAGAACCTGATTCTTTGCCTCGTGGTAGGACTGAAATTGAGTTTCTTCAGATATGTGGGAAAAATGGGTGGAGCTATAGATGTCGCAATGTTTTAATAATTTGAACTTTTTTTTGCAACCTTTAAGGTTTGTTGAAAATTGTTGGAGACGCCTGAGAAATGTGTTTCACACATTTTACCTATTAAACCAACTAACTTTTATAATTAGAACTCTTGTCTTAGAACTTTTTGACTTTGCTTTCTAAGGCAAAAACAAAGAGTTCCTAAAAATGTGCTTGTGGATTGTAAAGTAACTGTAGTAATATAAATATAAATAATAGTGTAAAAAAAGGGAGTGATATAGTTTTTTTCCATTTTGTGACACACCCTGATTTTTACTCTACCCTCCAGTGTCTAATCTCTGTAATCCCCCTCTCATTACGGAATACAACCACAGTGCGATCTGCCCGTTTGTGTGTCTCCACTCGTAGCCGCCAATGTCGTGAGAAAACGTCTTATTTTTCTACACCCACCAGGGACGAATCATAAAAGTAAAGTATGAACTGCTGTTGCCGACATCCTGTTTATCCAACTGGGGTTTTCTTAGATAATCTCCTGGTGCAGCTGATGTTTTCTGCTACTGTACCATAAAATCGACTTGGACTTGGACTCTGTGTTCACCAGTGTTTTTAATTTTTCACATTTATCGCTTCGTGTTCGATAATAATCAGGGCTGAGAAACAGTGAAATAATGATTACGCACCATTAAACATAAACCAAAATCGTGATTAATCACGATTAATCACTCATTAGATGTATTAATTGTTGTATTAATCACTCATTAGAGATTCCTCCGGAAAAACAAATGGATCAAATTGCAGATGTCATAGCAACAGCATTTATACCCAGTGCCCTTCTCTGGTGCCACCCTCTTTTATCTGGGCTCCGGACCAGCACTTTGAGACACAGAGGACAGTGTATGATGGGCAGGTTGCCACAGTCACAGCTGCCCTGCTGTCCTGTCAACACCACGGGAACAGAAGTGGATTACAATATTTTTATATCGTCCTACCTGGAATGACCTCGAAAAGAAATTTCCCCCCTTCATCGCCGCTTGTGGGATGCTCCAAAACTTTGTTTCCGGGTAAGGAAATAGTTCCCTGTGGAGGATGGAGAACACAACAGAATTTAATATCACCCGTTTCTGACTGAATCTAATGGAAGAAGTTTTGTCTTATGGGCAGATGAAAATTCAGGATTCCAGTGAAGGAAGAAAAATAAAATCAAACTTTATCATGCATTTCCATAATTTAACACTATATATATACGCCAGATTGGGGACCACACATCAGTTTCCTGACTGCCACATGTATAATGTGCAGCTCATCATTATTATACAATGAACTGCACGTCGGCGGAGCAGACTGCACGGCAGCTGCTGCACCGTGGTACAACGGCGCTCCTGAGCTCGGCAGCAGTCAGCTGCCTGACACTGCTTTAAGGAAAATATGCTAAAAATACTGACGTGTTTGACGCAGTGTTTTTCTCTGTCTTATGCATCAGCATCGTCACCGGCACTGGAGGGGTTTTTAGCGGATCATCTGAATGATACAGCCGGTGCAACATGTCACGGAGTGGACAAATAATGTGGCAGCATTGTTGCCTCCGTGGTTCAGCTCTGGCCACAGTGATACATCATCTGCACGACACGAGGGGGCGGGAAGTCTCTTCTTTAAATAACAGTCGCAGCGTCATCGTTTCTCAGAGTCAACACAACGACCTGACGGAGAAGTCAAAGGTCAGACAAGGACAGTGCCACATCAGTTATGACTGGTACTGTGGTACAATACTAGGTGAGAGTCTCTCGCAGTGATACTAACTGTGATACATCAGACTAGTATTATAAGTAGATAGCAGATAGAGCAATACTTTTTTTTTTTACAAAAATCAAAGACGTTTTACACTAAGATTTTAGCTTGCTTGCTAACCGCAAAAAACAAAAACCACTTTTAACTTATCTCAAGATAAAGAGTCCATGGAAAAACCACTTTAAACTTATCTCAAGATAAAGAGTCCATGGTATGACATTGTAATGGGTTTGTGGGGATTCTGGAGGGTGTTCTGAAACATACCATGCACAATTAATACAACATTTAAGCATAAACATCTTTATAAACATTTCTAAACATCTCTCCTGTGGTGGAAGCTGACAGTGAAGGCCTCTGCTGCTGTATTCTAATGTTGGTCATCATGGTGGTACTCAGAGAGATCAGTGTTTTCTCAGGTGGTACAGAGGATAAAAAGTCTAAGAACCACTGACATAGAATCATTTATAATTTCCCTCGTCCAGCTGACTAATTCAAACGTTTCAGTTTTAAAGGGTTAATCTGTACAAGTACAAACATCTGATCTCTTTTCAGTTGTACCTCAGTGCCATTTGGTCACCACCAGTATTTGGCTCATGCAAAAACCCCACTGTCCATTTGATTAATTACAAGTAATCATTAAGTCTGCAACCGAAACATTTAAATACCGTGAACTGGTCGGACCGCACGCTGAGAAGTTCAGTAACTGTGTGTATGACCGTACGTGTGTGTGTGTTTCCATTCTTTTACCGTAGCCTCTAACTTGATTTTAATTAGTGTGACTATAAAACAGATTAAGGCCTAATGTTAATCATTAGTGCAATCAAACCGTGGCTTTTCACTTGATTAACAACTCTACCCTTAGAACCACAACACAGCATCTGACAGTGGTTAGACTGCGCTGTATCTGGGTTAATGCTAACGAAGACAAGATGTGCACCGTTGGCAGCCTCTGTGATAAAGACCTGCACTCAGGAACAGGAATCCCAGGGTCACTCCGTTTCCTTCCTGCTGCGCGAGGGAGAGAGCTCTTTAACGAGCCATAACCGTGACAACCAGGAAGTGAAACCTCAGTCTGAGGCCCGAGCCGGAGTGCTTTAAGGGAGGGTTATAAAGATGGAAGTGACGTGCTGCTGAAGATGGAGTGGATTTGTTTGATGTGGTTGTTTGGAACAGGATCTGTTGGGCTTCAGCGTCCACCTCTGCGGCCAACACCGGTGCAGGGACCGCAGGGAAACAGGAGACGACTGAGGTGAACGCTGTGGCTGTGTGCAGCTGAGAGAAGAAAGGAGGTCCTGTGTGAGCCATCGTACTATAAAACCGCAGCAGCACAGACACTACTCTCCTCCATTTCAAAGCCACAGTCACACTTTCCGTAGTGAGGACCCCCGGTGGTCTGTTGTTAGCTGCAGCGAGACCCAAACCACAGGCAGATCGGCCAGCCAGGTCTCACGCAGCAACAGCACGGAAACCTGTTTGATGAATGTAGTGCAAGGCTGTCAAACTCCCGGCACGGGGGCCACTTCCGGTCCGTCAACCCTTCACATCTGGCCCACAGATAGAGTTTCACTAACGGGGGATAAACGCGACTAGCACATATAATTTTTTAAGAGGATGAACATCCCGATGAGTTGCTACGTATGAGTCCGAGTTACCTCAGGTTTGCAGGTTTAGCTAACTCAATGGTAGTAGTTTAGTTTTTGTTAGGTTATTTTAAGCTTTAAAGTTACCCAGTTTTTTTTTTTTTTTTTTTTTTTTTTTGGAAAACCACTTTTGTTTTTTTAAATTGTGTTTAAAAGTCATTTGAAATTTTTTATTTTTTTTTTGCAGAACATCAACAATGCCTTTTCTTTTTGAAGAACATCAACAATGCAAAATAGATATGATTGACTTATGTTTATGTTTTTATAATATGAATTAACAGCAGTGCTGTCGTGAGGCCAGATTGACTTGCATAATATGAATTAACAGCAGAAGTGCTGTCGTGAGGCCAGATTGACTTGGACTTTGAGCCTGAGACCCCTGTTCTACATTTTCATAATGCTGTTAGCTTCCCTGAGATCTTGAGGAAACAGCTTTAATGACACCAACCCAATTATCTTTTTATTCGACGAGAAAAAGTTTGACACAGATGCACAAACAAGACACGCGGGAGGCTGAGAGAAATCTGTGTGATGGCAGCGGCAGCAGGAGGCACAGGCTCAGGAGCAGCCGCTCGGCTGGTTGGGGGGTGGACGACTGTTTCACAGACAGCTTCCAACTGTCTGCTGATTGTGATTTCATCTTTGGAAATCCAAAGAGCACTTCTTCCGTGTCGTGTAAGCTGAGAAGCACATGAAGCTGAATAGATGGGGATATACAGTACATGCAACAGCAGCCTCGACTTGAGCCACGCTGTGTGATAATATGTCGTTGTTTTAGCAAAGCAAAATATTTGTTGCACACTTTGGACTTGGAAAAAAAAACCCTCCATCCAAAGTGCATGTTTTAAAAACAAAGTATTTGTCCTTTATCGGTATTAGCGTAAAAGTATTTGTCCTTTATCGGTATTAGCAGATACTGTGCACAACTACAAGTCATTCCTACTAAAAACTACAGCATCTGCTGTCAACAGTTTCTACCGATTTAACTGTTTTTGAATCAATACTTCTTAGTTGTCTTACACTGAATACTACGTACATTTTGAAAATTACATTCCTATTTAGAGGAAAATTAAGATAAATAACAGTGCATAAACAACATAAACAGTGTGAGTATATTCTAGACGTAGACCACGTCATTGGCTATGCTTACACAGTTTACTGATTCTTTGCTGATGACTTGTTTTTTTTATTGTGAAGTTTGTGCCCTGGCAAATATGACAAATACTCAAAATAATAATAATATTTTAAAAAGTGTTCCTTCACTTCTGCTAAGCCTAACAAACAAACAGTTGTTTAAATGTAGTTAGTTATAAATGAAGTCTGAGATGATGGAATGGACATAACCTCAGCTCAATACTGACCTGGTGCCATGAATAAGTGAGGAAAAACTGACCACACGTCAGGACACTGGGAAATATACTGTGGAGTGAATATTGATTTCAGATTGGCGACATATAATTTGTCACGCAGATGTCAATTAACCCAGATTTACTGGTGAGACAGATCATTTAGATGTTGATTTTATCACCAGCTTGTTGCCGGTTTTCATCAGTACTTAATAGTATTCTTACCCCGGTTAGGACTTTGACCTCATCAGGACCAGAAGAAAATGTAGGTAAAAATACCAGACGACCAGAGGGGTAAATGTACTGTTATTGTTGACCTGATTTTATATTATTTTATATATATATATATATATATATATACAATATAAAATTTTATATTATATATATATAAATATATATATACACAATATAAAATCAGGTCATATATATGACCTGTCATATATATCAGGTGATATATATACACACACATATATATAATGTATATGTGTGTGTGTGTGTAAATATATGTATATGTATATAGCTGTATATAGTGGCTGTAAAGACTCATATATACTGTATATATATATATGTATATATATATAGATAGATAGTACTAGTACTAGATAGTAGCTATGTATACTATGTATATATTTCCATATAGTGTATATAGTGGCTTTTAAAAATATGGAGAGGTTTCTCTGATTGCCCCACTAAGTTTGACTCTTTCATTTATCCACCTCATAAAATGCTGAACTCTTAGATCCTCATTCAGGCAGAACCAATCACATAAGCCACAGCTGTAAGTGAATTACATTCATTAAAACTTTAGTACTTCAGTCCACCGTAACAGAGTGTAAAAAAAGGTGACGACACCTTCCATTAACTTTAAACTATACTGTGGCGGTGGAGGTGAAAAGTTGCAGTTAACATAACAATCTACAGTGGGGAGAACGTGACACTGCAGACACTTAATGACAGAGCAGCGGCTCTGGTCCATAAACAGTGTGATAAAACAGAGCTCACAGCTGAGTGCTTCAACTTCTCTCATCCTCCAAACACTTTCTGAATGAATCACTGATACGTCAACATTAAAAGGTCTCACAATCTACGCCACTAACTGCAAACTCTAACGTTGTTCCACTTTGGCAACACAATCTGGGACAGGGACACCGAGTACAGACGCAGACAACAGAGCCACACAATAACAGTGTGGAGTCAGACCAGCATCTGTCAAAACCCACAGAATTTGACGAAAAACTGAACAAAAACCTAACAAAGGCTACAGTGATCTCGGAGCTGGAAAGCACACAATGTCCCGTCACTTTCT